GCTCAGGAAACACGGGCTGACCTGAAGGGGAAATCCAGTTTAGCAAGGCCTGTGGGTGCAAGACCTGGCAGTGCTGGTGATTCAGCAGGGTTGGGCTTTGTGGAGAAAAGTGCTGGAACATCAGGCATTTCATATCCTTGTAGGATCAGCTTCAGAGATGGGGGCTACCTGAGGGAGGGGGCCTTGAGGTCTCTAACCAGGAGGCAGCTGGGGAAAAGGAGCTTCTCTGTTGCAGAAGGGTTTGGATTTGAGTCCATCTGTGAGCTGAAAGGCCTTGGACAAGTCACTTCATCTGCCTGAACCCGTTTTTTTCTGTGTGAAATAAGACCTGATGGTTGGGCATGGTGGCTTATGCTAGCACTTTGGGAGGCGGAAGCAGGATTGTCTGAACCCAGGAGCTTGAGACCAGCCTGGGAAACGTAGTGAGACCTTGTCTCTACAAAAAAAAATCCAAAAAATTAGCCAGGTATGGTGGCATGTGCCTGTGGTCCCAGCTACTGGGGAGGCTGAGGCAGATGGATCACCTGAACCCAGGAGGTCAAGGCCGCAGTGAGCCATGATCAGGCCACTGCATTCCAGTCTAGGCAACAGAGTGAGACCCCAATTAAAAAATCAATCAATCAATCAATCAGTCAGTCAACAAAAGATCTAATGTTAAATTGGACTGCAGGTAATGTGCCATGTTCTCTCTCCTCTCCCTGCTTCCTTCTTTCTTCGCATCTGTTTTCTCAGCTGCTCCATTTTGGTGCAAAGGAAGTCACCTACTATGAACTTCAGATGTCAGAAAGTCCTCCTAGCAATCCCTCCGCCAGCACCTGATGTCTCACCACTAGTGTTCTGTCCCCGCATGTGGTGACAGAGCGAGGCTGTAGTGGAGTGCAGTAGTGCCATCATAGCTTGCCGCAACTTCCAACTCCTGGGCTCAAGTGATCCTCCCACCTCAGCCTCCCAAGTAACCGGGACTATAGGTGCACACCACCACAACTGGTTAAAATTTTTTTTTTTTTGGTAGAGACAGGGTCTCACTGTGCTGTCCAGGCTGGTCTTGAACTCTTGGCCTCAGGTGATCCTCCCACTCTGGCCTACCAAAACCCTGGGAAGTAAAGGTGTGAGCCACTGTGCCCAGCCTGGGTCCTTAAATTTTAAAAATTCTATGTATCTTTTCTCATAGCAGAAAAATGGGTGAAGGAGGCTGGACAAGGATGTGGAAAGAAACAGGGCTACTTAAGTCTTAGCGCTGTGATGGCTCCATTCCCCCTCCAGTGTGCTAAAGAACTTCCTGAGGAAGTCTCCTTGGTTATGAGGACACTTGTTCCAGCAGGAGCCAAGTCTAACCCAAGTGAGCCTAACTTATATAACACTCTGATGACAGTTTTTTTTTGTCTTTTTTTGAGTTGGAGTCTCACTCTGTCGCCCAGCCCCGACATGATGGGCTCCGGCGATCCTTCCGCTCAGCCTTCCAAGTAGCCGGAACTACAGGCGAGTGCTACCACACCCAGCTAATATTTGATTTACGATAGAGAAAGGTCTCGCCAAGTTGGCCGGGTGGGTCTCAAACCCATGGGCTCAGGCAATCCACTCGCCTCAGCCTCCCAAAGTGCTGGGATTACAGCCTGAGCCACCGAGTCCGACCTCTGATGACTGTTAGTGACTCTTTCCTGTTGCTAATGACAGGGGCCTGGGAAGAGGTGCCAGCATCATATCCGTAGTCTCCCAACATGGACTGAGCACTACCCTTGCTCAACCATTTATTGGCCATGTGGTTCTGGCAAGGTTCTTAGCTTCTCTGTGCCTCAATGTTCTGTCCTATAAAATGGGCACAACCATGGTGAGCCTCCATAGGCTTTTGGTGAGGAATGCAGGAGCTAACACATGTCAACTGTTAGAACCTTGCCTGGCAGATATAAAGCACCTATAACTGCTTGTTTGCACCACCATTACCACCATCATCATCATTTTTGCTTTGTGCCCAGCCCTGTACAGGATATGGGTGACACAGAGATGAGTCAGCCTTAGCCCTTACCTCAGTTGGGTTTGTGAATTAGTGAAGGAGACAAGCCCTGGGCAGAGAACTGAAAGTGACTAGCAACAGTGTCTCCTACTGCAAGGTGACCTACATTGAGGAAGAAGGGTCAGGCACAAGCCAGAGTTTAAAAACTCTGTGCCAGAGAAGAGGTGGGAGTGGTCTCTGAGCCTCCCTATATCCGTTTCTTTCTGCCAGCTGTTTCCTGTGTGGGCCATTGCCCCCTCCCTCTGTGCCTTTGCACATCCTGTTCCTTCTTGCCCTTCTAAGTCCACCCCCAGCAGCCCTACCTTCAGGAACGTTGAACTACTTCACAATTTCTTGAAGACAGGTCTACAACTTGTTCACTACAATATCTCGTGCAAGCACACAGTAGGTACTCAATTACTATATGAATGTAGGAAAGATGTATTTGTCAGAATTCCGTTCAGCTAAAAACACCAAATATTCTGACAATAGAGGCTTAAACAAAAAGGAGGTTTTTCTTAGCTTGCAGGGTTGTTAAAAAAATAAGAGGTTTGGCCAGGCTCGTTGGCTCAGTCTGTAATCCCAGCACTTTGGAAGACTGAGGCGAGTAGACTGCCTGAGCCTGCAGGTTTGACACCAGCCTGGGCAACTTGGTGGGACCTCATCTTTACAATAAATAAAAAATCAGCCAGGTGTGGTAGTGTGCACCTGTTGTTCCAGCTACTTGGAAGGCTGAGGTGGAAGGATTGCCAGAGCCCAGCAAGTCGACCCTGGGGTGCCCGTGAGCATGCCACTGCACTCCATCCTGGGCGACGGAGTGAGACTCTAACAACAACAAAAAAAGTTTATTTTTCTCAATTAACAAGAAAGCAGGCAGCTTCTGACACTGGCTCAGCAGCTCAACACTGTCTCAACACTTGCTTTGGTTTTTCCTCATGGTCGCAGGATGGCCATCGTAGCTCCTGCTATCATATTTATGTTCAAGGAAGGAAGAAGAGGCAAGACATAGCACCATGGTAGGTCTCTTTTGGCAAGAGAAGTAAAATCCTCAGAACCTAGTCAACTTCCGCTCACTTCCCACTGGCCAAAACTGGGTAACGTGGCCACCCTCGACTACAAGGGAGTCTGGGAAAACAAGTATCTAACCTGGAACTGGAAGAATGAAATTGTAGTTCTGTTATCAAGCACGCAAGAAATGTAGAGGGAGGAAGCAAAGGGCACGGGGAATGGGGAATGGGGTGGTGGGTGTTGGTTGGGCAACTAGCAGAGGGCTTCATGAAGGATGTGGGTTTTGACCTGTGCTGGAAGATCAGATGAGATTTGACAATAGGAAAGAATGGACTGAACTTGAAAATGCCGTGTGTGACCAGGACTGCAGAGCAGGAAGGACGGGGGCCAGGGAGAGAGCTCGTCCCCTGGCAAACTTTGGTCTACTTGACATCAGCCAGCAGCTCTCTTTCCCCGAGATGGCTCCCAAATTCTTCCTCTGCTCTACCTGAAATGCCATCATGAGAGATTGTCTCAGCCAATGAGCATGCACTGGCCACATTTTTTCAGGATATAGAGGTGCCCTGCTATCAATGAGTTTTTGTGGCTAGTGATTTCCTTGTGCTTAGCTAAATTCTGCCCTGAGAAGTGGGAATCTTTATTCTAGAAAGGAATCATCGAGCCTGGGGTCTGGGGGAGGTGCAGGGCTGGGGCTGGACACTGAATGTCCAAGGGTGATAGAGGTCTGTAGAGGAGAGAACTCACATTCACTGCAGTCCTGCTAAGGGCTGTATGCCATTTTCACAATACTATGAGGCTAGCACTACTATTTGTCTCCATTTTACAGACAAGAAGCCTGAGGCACAGCAAGAAGTTAAGTAACTTTCCCAAGCTTCCACAGCTAAAAATAGCAGAGTCAGGAATACAACCCAGGCAGTCTGGCTCTGAGACACAGGGGAGGATAGTGACTTGCCAAAGTCTTGGGGTAGATTCTCTAGACCAGTGATTCTCAATTGGGGGTGATGCAAACATTACCAGTACCAAACGACAGTTGTGTTAAGGTTGAGAAACCCTGGCTTAAATGAGTCAGAGGTTAAGCATGGTGGCTCGTGCCTGTAATCAGCTACTCTAGAGGCTGAGGACAGGAGGATCGCTTGTCAGGGGTTCAAGACCAACCTGAGCAATATAGTGAGACCCTGCCTCAAAATAAAATAGAAATAGAAATGAGCCAGAGGCTGGCAGATCTACCTCTTGTCATGTTTGAGTTCTTAATCTCAAAGCTGAGCAGTGAAGAAATAGGGCAGAAATCAGAATGAATCCTGCACCCCTTGGCTAAACTGCTGCTATGAAGGGACTCAAAACATAGAGCCGCCAGGAGGAGAAAAGCCTACTTCCTGTGTATGCAGCAGTCCAGAGGTGGGCAAGCAGCACTGAGCATGAGGCCTTGTGGGTCCCGGGTTCCTCTGCCTTTTTGCTCAGCCATTCCCTGGGTGTTGGCCTTGTGTGTATGATTCAAGTTGGTTTGCCAAGTTTAAATCTGCATTTCTGTCAAAACTGCACCTGACCTTCCAGGCACGGGTCAAAACCTACTTCCCCAGCCTGGGCAACATAGCAAGACCCCATCTCCTACTTAAAATCAAAAAGTTAGCTGGGTGTGGTGGCACACCTGTAGTCCCAGCTACTGGGGAAACTGAGGCAGAAGGATCTCCTGAGCCCAGCAAGTCAAGGCTGTAGTAGCTATGATCATTCCACTGCACTCCAACCTGGGTGAAACAGTGAGACCCTGACTCATAATATTAAAAAGAAAATCCCAAAACACAAACTCACTTCCTTGTGAAGCAGGTTCCTAGTTGCCCAACCAACACATACCACCCCTGTTCCCTACTCCCCCAGTCCCTCCCTCCACTACCCCTGGCCTGCTTTCTAACAGCACAATTGTTTTATTAACTGTTTGTCTTTTTCCTATTTATTTCCCAAGCTCTTTGTATATATTAAGACATTAACTAAGGTGATCATTATTCCTCCAGGGAAAGCCATGGAAACTTCAGGACCCTTCTCCCAGTCTCAAGACAGCAGTCGAATCCACAGAGAAACAGAAGATCTAGACGGTATATTTGCCTTCTCTGGCCCGGGCAAAGCCACGTGGGAGGTGGAGTCCAAACGTGGATGGGACAGAGGACCCTGCTTGGTTCGTGTGGCACAGTGGCTCAAATCACAGTCGAAACAGGGAAGCTGTGACTTTACACACACACACAAGTGTGCTTGCTTCAGGCTGCCCTCCTGTACTTCCTAGCTGTGGAGACCCTGGGTTGCTTGCCAAATCACAAGAAGTCTCTGGGGACTTGGGCTGGCACTTGGGAGAGTCCCCAGAAGGTGGGAAGGGTCCTGTGTGGCCCCAGAATGGGGGATGGGAAAGTTCAGGGCTTGATCAGACACCATCTTCCCTGTCATTGACAGAGGATCCTAAGTAGGCAACTGCTCTGTGGGGTCGAATTGTCTCTGGGCAGGACAGAAAGCTGAGAAGCCCCTTTTCGCTTCAGGGGTCCATACGCAGAGAATTTTCTGCCTTGGGCCTTCCTAGAGTCCCTGGGGTCTCTGAGAGCCTTGGTCTCCTGCACCATCTGTTGTTTGGAAAGATAATCCAATCCTTCCTGGCTCTCCAAGTTCAAGTAGAACCCTGGGAGAGGCTTTGGTGACCCCTGGGGTTGGAAGGTGAGAAGTGCTTATCTTTGCCTATGTGTGCCTTGCAGAGGGAGAAACAGATTCCCACAAGCAACATGGGAAGGCTGGATTCTTTTCCCAAGAACAGTATGAGAGAGAAAAATCTTCCTCCTCCTCTTCTTCTTCCTCATCATCCTCCTCTTCCTCAGGTACAGCAAAGATTTAAATACACACAAACACATATTTTACAATATTATTCAAGAAAAACATTTACATGGAAAAACCAACCCCATACTTCAAGTAATTGAAACACTTGATTCTTCAATGCTGTTTTTCCACATTCCTTTCTCTTTTTTTGATTTGGAGTCTCACTCTGTCGCCCAGGCTGGAGTGCAGTGGCATGCTCACGGCCACCCCAGCGTTGACCTGCTGGGCTCCGGCGAGCCTTCTGCCTCAGCCTTCCAAGTAGCTGGAACCAAAGGCACACGCTACCACGCCTGGCTAATTTTTTGATTTATTGTAGAGATGAGGTCTCGCCAAGTTGCCCAGGCCATTATCAAAACCACCTCCCAAAGTGCTGGGATTACAGGCTTAGCCACTGAGCCTGGCCTCCACATTCCTTCTAGAGCATGTCTATCTATACTCATACTTGCATGTACACAGCTATAATTGATCATATAGGCCTCCACATTCCTTCTAGAGCATGTCTACCTATACTCATACTTGCATGTACACAGCTATAATTGATCATATAGGCATTTTTGTTCTCCATTTACAATTTTGTGCTATCTTATTCTAATGCATATTTCTCCATTATTCTGTAATACCTTTGCAGCCTTTTTTTTTATTTTTTAAATTTTTTTAGTAGGAATCTCTTTCTGTTGCTGAGGCTGCAGTGGCACGCTCACAGCCCTGTAGCCTTGACCTGCTGGGCTCAGGTGATCCTTCTGCCTCAGCCTTCCAAGTAGCTGGAACCACAGGAGTGTGCCACCACACTCAGCTAATTTTTCATTTATTGTAGAGACAAGGTCTCACCAAGCTGCTCAGGCTAGTCTTGACCCCCTGGACTCAGGCAATCCTTCCACCCCAGCCTTCCAAAGTGAGCCACTGCACCTGGCCTTTGCGGCTATTTTTAACGCTTGCCAAACAAACCCTCAATTGGTTGTATCTCATGTAGAGTAACATTTAGGTTTAATAGGGGCATGCTAGTGTCATAGTCAAAGCATGTGTTACAGGTTCAAATCCTGTCTCTGCCACTAATTAGCTATGTGTCCTCGGGTAAACTGCTCAAACCCTGTATGCTTCATTGTCCTTATCTGTAAGACGGAGATGGTAGCAATAGTTGATACCGTGAAGGATTCTTGCGAGGATGGAATTCATGATACAGGTAAAGTCTTAGCACCTAGCACACAGTTAAACCCCTTGAAATAACTACTATGTGAGCCGGGCTCAGTGGCTCAGCCTGTAATCCTGCACCTTTGGGAGGCCGAGGTGAGTGGATAGCCTGAGCCCGCGGGTTTGAGACCCGCCTGGGCAACTTGCCGAGACCTCATCGCTACCATAAATCAAAAAATTAGGCAGGCGTGGTAGCGTGCGTCTGTAGTTCCAGCTACTCGGAAGGCTGAGGCGGAAGGATCGCCGGAGCCCAGCAGGCGAGGCTGCAGTGGCCGGGAGTGGCCACTGAACTCCAGTCTGGGTGACCAAGTGAGACTCTAACTCAAAAAAAAAAAAAAAAAAAAAAAGAAATAACTATTATGTGAAGACTTTCCCCTCTCAGGTTTATCATGTTCATGAACGTCCTTGGCAAAACATTTTACCTTTTGAATTTTGTGTACAAATCATGTCCTAAGCATTGACTTCCCACAAGTACTTTAGTGGGTTTAGAGGAATATCTTCAACAGGATCTTGATGACAAGTTACCCCTTTATTCTCCAAGAAACAGTAGGATGTTCTTTCTCTCTCCTCCCTTCCTTGTCTCACTCTGTTGCCAGGCCTGGAGCACAGCGGCATGACAGCTCTCCATAGTCTCTACCTCCTGGGCTCAGGTGATCCTTCTACCTCAGCCTCCCGAGCAGGTGGGACTACAGGTGCATGCCACCACGCTTAGCCAATTTTATCTATTTTTTATAGAGATGAGGTCTTGCTATGTTGCCCAGGCTGGTCTTAAACACCTGGGCACAAGTGATTCTCCTGCCTCAGTCTCCTAGAGTGCTGGGACTACAGACATGAGCCACCAGACCCAGCCTCATTTGTATTCTTTCAATTTGAAATATAAGGCTGAATTTATAGCAGGAGCAGCATGTACTGAGTGCTTACTATGTGCTGGGTACTATTCCAAGTGCTTGTATGTAATAACTCAATTCTCACATCAACTCAATGAGGAAGGTACTATTATTCCCTTTTTACAGGTGAGGATACTGAGGCATAGAGAGGCTAACTGACTTGCTATAAGAGAGCCCAATAACCAACTTGGGGTTCCTCCAAGGCCTTTCTAGGATGGGGGAAACTAACCCTCCTCAACCAAAGCTCCTGCACTATAATCTGTTTTGTATCGTGGGAGTGGGCTTAATATTTCATTTGAAAGATTTCCAGCCAGCCTGTAATCCCAGCACTTTGGGAGGCCAAGGTGAGTGGATTGCCTGAGCCCATCGATTCGAGACCAGCCCAGGCAACTTGGCAAGACCTTGTCTCTATGATAAAATAAAAAATACCCAGGTGCAGGGGGACTGATGTCTGTCCCTTTGTTTCCCTTCTCTGGGCAGGAAGAAATGCTCTGTCCTCTGGTTTTAGGTGTCCCTCAAGGGGAGCTGCTCTCCCCGACTAGAGGCCAGAGCCCCTTCTCTGGAGTCTCCATGGCACACATAGGATTGGCTGTAAATAGCACACTAAGAAAAACAACAGGAGAATTTACACATGGTCCTGAAGCTTGGTGACAGACTGGCATTCAGGATCCTGGCCCTTGATCCTGCTGTGACTGGCCTGCTGCCAGAACGCAGAACCTGTCCATTCTTCAGGTTCAGAGGGTGGGTGGTCCTTAACCCTAAAGGCCCCAAGCCAGGGCCTCACTGTAGCCCCTGCCTTCCTCAAACTCAGGACTGGGAACTCATAGTTGGCTATCCAGCATATCTCTCCCCATATGACTGTTTTAATCCTGTTGTTATTATTATTATTATTATTTTTTTGAGTTGGAGTCTCACTCTGTCACCCAGACTGGAGTGCAGTGGCTGCTCCTGGTCACTGCAGCCTCGACCTGCTGGGCTCTGGCAATCCTTCTGTCTCAGGCTTCCAAGTAGCTGGAACTACAGGCGCGCGCTACCAAGCCCAGCTAGTTTTTGATTTATCGTAGAGATGAGGTCTCGCCAAGTTGCCCAGGTGGGTCTCGAACCCGCGGGCTCAGGCAATCCACTCACCTCGGCCTCCCAAAGCGGGATTACAGGCTGAGCCACCGAGCCCAGTTAATCCTGTTACTTTTAGATGAAGTTTTGTTTTCAGTTGTAAATGGTGACAAACAGGCACACTGTAAAAAATTATACAAGCATATAGGGAAATAGAAGAAAAAAATCACCCTTTGTTCCATCATCCAGAGATAACTACCAAAAATGCATTAGTGTATTCTCCTACATTTATTCAATAAATATTTACTGAGCACGAACTATATGCCAGACTTTGCAATGGCTCCTGGGGACAATAACAAAGTACAGGGAGTCTTTCTGCCACGATTAATTTTGTTTTGATTTATAAAGAAAAGAGGTTGATTTAGCTCACAGTTCTGCAGGTTGAGAAATTTTTTAAACAATTGAATTAGAGAATATATATATAAATTGTCTTCATTTTAATAGCATACATTCCTAAAAAATAAATAGCATGGAATCTCGAATGCCTTTTATAAAAATAAATATTACAGCCGGGCTCGGTGGCTCAGCCTGTAATCCTGCGCTTTGGGAGGCTGAGGTGAGTAGACTGCCTGAGCCCGCAGGTTTGAGACCTACCTGGGCAACTTGACGAGAGCTCATCTCTACAATAAATAAAAAATTAGCCGGGTGTGGTAGTGCGCGCCTGTAGTTCCAGCTACTCGGAAGGCTGAGGTGGAAGAATCGCCGGAGCCCAGCAGGTCGAGGCTGCAGTGGCTGGGAGCGGCCACTGCACTCCAGTCTGGGCGACAGAGTGAGACTCCAACTCAAAAAATAAAAAAAAAAAAATTATGAATATATCATAAGAGAAAGTTAAAATACTGTTCATTCACATGATAGATGTCCCTTCGTGATAAAATTTGTACTAACTTTTGCTTTATTTGCTGTATTGTGTATTTTGCATCTTTATAGCAATAAAAAGTCTCTTTTTTTGCATCGATGAATATTTGTAAAATATAGAAGAGAATAAAACAGAAGTTACCCAAGGGCCAGGCACAGTGGCTCATGCCTGTAATCCCAGCACTTTGGGAGGTCACGGCAGGAGGACCACTTGAGCCTAGGAGTTTGAGATCAGCCTGAGTAGCACAGTGAGACCTTGTCTCCACAAAAGATAGCTGAAAACTTTTTAAAAACCCCAACAGTTTAGAAGTACCAAAATTCTCTCTCCTGAGATAAATACCATTGTTTTGATGTGCTTCCAAGCTGAACACGGTGGCTCATGCCTGTAATCCCAACACTTTAAAAGTCAAAGGCGGAAGGATAGCTTGAGCCCAGGAGTCTAAAAGCCTGAGCAGAAAAGCAAGACACTGTCTTTAAATTAAAAAAAAAAAAAAGTGCTTCCTGAGCTTCCTCCTCTGTATCCAGTAGAAATAACATATGCACTGATTTTTAAACACAGCTAACTTGGTTTCCTGGAATTTCTTAATTTACCCATGATTGATCAGGAGGTCCTCAAGCACACCTAGCACTGCTGAGGCCATCTTGGTAGTCCTGAGGATAAGGGAGTCGGCTGAGCCTGGAGCCAGAAACTCCTAAACTTGAATTCTTGAAATGCTGACTGGCCCAAGACCACAAATGACTCAATCATTCTTCGAGTCTTCATCAAGCTCCTGCTTCAGGCAGAACACCCTGGGAGGTAGAGAACCCAAGCTATGTCCTTCAGGAGATGAGATGATCGGAGAGACAAGCATCACAGCACCACTGGTCCTCATGTCTGCTGAGTCAAGCAGAGACAGATGATGCTATAGAAACCTCAGAAGGGTGCCAGGCACGGTGGCTAACTGTAATCCCAGCACTCTGGGAGGTCAAGGCGAGAGGACTGCCTGAGCCCAGGAATTCAAAATCAGCCTGGGCAACATGGCGAGACCTCATCTCTGCAATAAATAAAAAATTAGTTGGGCATGGTGGCACATGCCTGTGGGTCCAGTTACTTGGAAGGCTGAGGTGGAAGGATAACCAAAGCCCAGCAGGTTGAGGCTGTGGTGGTCGTGAGCGTGCCACTGCACTCCAGTCTGGGCGGCCGAGTGAGATTCTGACTCAAAAAAAAAGAAATCCCCAGAGGGCGAACAGCAAGACCAGCATGAGTGGTGGTAGTTGGAAAGGCTTCCTACAGGAGTTGTGACATCAGCTTAACCTTCACAATAGGAGAGACAAATAGGAGGGGTCTTCCAGGTATGTGGGAGACACAGCAAACACCCAAACTCAGCGTGATGAATGGGGAGACAGAGATGACACAGCCCTTGCACTGGGGGGGGGAATGGAAACCATCTTAGAAATATGATATATGATACCTCATGGGACCTTGTCTTACCTTCACAAAAGCCTTATGAGGTAGGCAAGGCAGCATCAGAAATATTAAGTAGACATGAACACAAAAGAAAAATTAAGTGATTTGCCTAAGGTCACACGGAAAGTTCATGGCTGGTCTCTTACCCTATCATCCCCAAAGCAGAGCTCCTCCCCCCAAACTATACTCCTCACATAAATTCAATTCCGAGAATCACCACCAGAATGAACATACTCCTGGCTTGTTCCAGGCTGAGATTCTTCTACAGCTTATGTTTGTTTCCTGCAGAGAGCAGTGATGAGGACCAGCAACCCAGAGCAACCAGAAAGCATGGCCGGAGCCGGGGGGCTGGACACCCCCACCCCCACAGGGATGGTTCACCTGGTAGGCAATAGGCCTTGCCATTTTTCTTTTGCCCACTGGTCTCAATGTTGTTTCTCAGTGGGATGGAGTCTGTGTGAAGATGTCCTCAGAGCATTGCTTATGGTAGGATAAAAATAAGAATTAACCTAGCAACAGTAAAATAGATAAAGAATGCTATACCTTGCTCTGGCTACAGTTCACTTCTGTCTGTGATGTAAAATAAAAAGATGCCAAATCATTTAATTTATTCAATCTCTCATAAACTTTGAAAAAAAATTCACTCATATATAGTTATAAGCAAGACTGGAAGAAAAATAGTCAGAATGTTAATAGTGGTTATTGCTGGGTTTTGTTTGTAGATGTCTGTTACATGAAATATAGTGGTTATCTCTGGATAATGGAATTATGAGTGGTTTTTATTTTGTAAGTTGTCCTCTATTAGAAATAATTTACAATGGGCATGTTTTATTTTTGCACAAAAAAATAAACAACTTCTGGGAAGGAAAGAACATCGAAGAAGGAGCCTAGATTAAATGTTTAGTACAGAACTGCTGTAATAAATGCTGCCCATGAAGCTGGAGTTGAACTCTGGGTTCTGTTTCTGGACATAAAAATGATTAGGAATGCAGGCTTTGGCAACAGATCTTGCTCCTTACTTGCTATGCGACATTGGGAGAAGGAATGAACTTTTTTTTTAATTTCGTGTCTCACTCTGTTGCCCAGGTCGTGGCACACTCACGACCACCACAGCCTCAACCTTCTGGGTGCAGGTGATTTTTCCACCTCAGCCTTACAAGTAGCTGGAATTACAGGCACGCACTACTACACTCGAATAATTTTTGCTCTGTTGCAGAGATGAGGTCTCATCAAATTGCCCAGGCTGGTCTTCAATCCCCTGGCTCAAGCAATTCTCTCACTTAGGCCTCTCAAAGAGCTGGGATTATAGGTGTGAGCCACCGAGCCCAGCCTGATTGAACTTTTTGAGCCTCAGTTTCCGATATTATCTGTATAATGGATGGGGTTTGGAACTAATACCTTCTGCACAGGATTTCCATAAGGAGCAAATGAAATATTTAATATAAATTACTTAGTGCATGGTCACATAGTATGTACACAATATATGGTAATTATTCTCATTAACCTTGAGCAAGACCTAGGTCCTCTCAGATCCAAGTTCTTTCTCAGTAAGCGGAATATCTGGGAGTGGTGGGGGTAGTCAGACAGTGTAAAGGAAAAGCACTAGTAGGGTTGTCTTGCCTTTGAAGGCCCCCCCACCTTTCCTTCAACATAAGGACTGTTTTACTTTCTAAGGCTTCAAACCCCTAGGCCAACAGAAGCCACCTTGGGTCACTGTCTGGGGAGTGCTGGCTGAAGGGGTTTGTTTCCACCCAGGTGCTGGGCATGAGAGGCCTGACACTTCGAGGGATGAACTTCAACTCTACGGAGGTAAATGGTTGCCCACTGGTTTTGGAGAACACAGAATTAGACTACAGACATGAGGGCTTAGGGCTTTGTTGGCTAGAAGCAAGGTCAGGAGGGTATTTCATGAGCTGAAAAGTCCCAGGCAAGTATAACAGATTTGGCAGACTGAGTGGTTAGAAAATTGGCAGATAGGGATGGGGGGTATTTTCTACTATGATAAGACTTCCCCTGGGAAATCCTGCAGTCTCTTCTGAGCTATAACCTTGACTTGTGGGATGACCTTGATGAGTCACCCAACCTTTCTGGGCCTCAGCTTCCCAACCAGTGTAATGAGACATGATCAGTACCCCCATCTTGGAATACTGGGCTGTTTAAACATGCAAGGAAAAATTAAGACTCTGATCTCTACAATACCTATATTATAGAAAAATTATTTCCAAGCACCTTGATTACTATAGTGAGATATGAACAATATGGCGTTTTTGGTTGGCATCACTAGGATGAAATGGGAGAATTTGTAGCAATGAACAAGTCTGCCAAACAGCCTGAGAAATGCACAGATAAGAAAGTCTGTTTAGACTGGGAGCAGTGGCTCATGTCTGTAATCCCAGCACTTTGGGAGGCAGATGCAAGAGGACTGCCTGAGTCCACAGGTTCGAGATCAGCCCAGGCAACATGGTGAGACCTCGTCTCTACAGTAAATTAAAAGATTAGCCAGGCATGGTGGTACATGCCTGTGGTTCCAGCTATTTGGAAGGCTGAGGTGGAAGGATTGCCTGAGCCCTGCTGGTTGGGTCTGCGGTGGCCATGAATGTGCCACTACACTCCAGCCTGTGCGACTCCAACCAAAAAAAAAAGACTTTGTTATGTATCAAAATATGACGAGTGGCGGTCTCTAGATGGTAGCATTATGGGTCTGTTTATTATCCTTACTCTGTTCTATTGGCTTATCTGAATGTTTTTTTCTTTTTTTTTTGGAGTTGGATTCTCACTCTGTTGCCCAGTCTGGAGTGCAGTGGCATGCTGCTTACAGCCACCACAGCCTTGACATGCTTGGCTCAAGCGATCCTTCCACCTCAGCCTTCTGAGTAGTTGGAACTACAGGCACGCGCCACCACGCCTGGCTAATTTTTTGATTTACTGTAGAAGTGAGGTCTTACCAAGTTGCCCAGGCTGGTCTCGAACCCATGGGCTCACCTCAGTCTCCCAAAGTGCAGGGATTACAGGCATGAGCCACTGCGCCCAGTCTTTTTTCTAAAAACAAAAACAAGTATTACTTGCTTTTTTTTTTTAATTTAATTACTTACGAATTTTTTTTTTTTGAGTTGGAGCCTCACTCCGTCGTCCAGGTTGGAGTGCAGTAGCACACTCATGGCCACCCCAGCATCGACCTGCTGGGCTCCGGCGATCCTTCCGCCTCAGCCTTCCAAGTAGTCGGAACTACAGGCATGCGCTACCACGCCCTGCTAATTTTTGATTTATTGTAGAGATGAGGTCTCACCAAGTTACCCAGGTGGGTCCTGAACCTGCGGGCTCAGGCAATCTACTCACCTCTGCCCCCGCAAAGTGGTGGGATTACAGGCTGAGCCACCGAGCCCAGCCACTTATGAAGTTTTAAAGTTTCCACCAGGTGTAAAATAAGATAAACTGCTATGTCTACATGTGTTTAAAATATTTTTTCTCTGGCCAGATGCAGTGGCTCACATCTGTAATCCCATCACTTTCAGAGGCTGAAGTGAAAGTATTGCTTGAGCCTAGGAGTTCAAGACTAGCCTAGACAACATAGTGAGACCTTGTCTCTACAAAAAACACAAAAATTATGTGGGTTTGGTGGCACATACCTATGGTCCTGGCTACTCAGGAGGCTGAGGTAAGAGAATCACTTGACATCAGGAGTCTGAGGCTGCGCTAAACTGCGATTGTGCCACTACACTCTAGTCTTGGTGACAGAGTGAAACCCTGACTGAAAAAAAAATAAAAATGAAATATTTTTTCTCATCATCAAAGTAATTGATATTCACTGTACAAATTGTAGATATAGTTTTTTTTTTTTGAGTTGCAGTCACCCAGGCTGGAGTGCAGTGGCATACTTATGGCCACCCCAGTGTCCTTCTGCCTCAGCCTTCCAAGTAACTGGAACTACAGGCGCATGCTACCATGCTCGGCTAATTTTTTTATTTATTGTAGAGATGAGGTCTTACCATGTTGCCCATGTTACAGGACTCGAACCTGCAGGCTCAGGCAATCCTCTCTCCTTGGCCTCCCAAAGTGCTGAGATTACAGGCTTAAGCCACCACCCAGCCTGATACAGTTACTTATTAAATGCATTACCGCCCCTTCCCAAGACAACAGAGATACTCAGTAAATTACATTGTCTGAGTCTCATTTCATGTACTTCTTGATAAATTGTCTGCACTTTTATTATTGGTCACTCTGATCATTTTGCAGATGATCAGCCCTAAGGACACTTCAGTGTGCTGAGTGTTTACTCTCATGTGTTCAGCGGCCCCTTGGGGTGCTTATGTCCTGGGACTGCCCTGAAGGACAGGAAATGTACAGGAGTTGGGCCTGACAGTGGGAGAGATGGCACAGGGTACCACCAGCTTGAGAGCAGGAATGAGAGAAACCAAGAGAGAAGTCACCAGAGAACTATAATAGATACCAAGAACCACCTGGTTCATAGGATGGGAAGGCCATCCAGAATCGGATTCACGGGGAGGCTGGCCTTGGCAGCCCAGACAAGTGGTTCAACAATCAGGTGGAAGATCATGGCTCCCTCGTGCTCAGGGCCTGATGGGTCTAGGAGCCACACAGCTGGGTATCATCACCTACATCTGGATGGCCTTGGGCAAGCACACTTGCATATGGGTGGCCGGTGTATACAGATGTGTCTTATCTGGCCCAGAGTGTTTTAAAAATTATGGGCCGGGTTCGGTGGCTTAGCCTGTAATCCCAGCACTTTGGGAGGCTGAGGCGAGTGAACTGCCTGAGTCCGTGGGCTCGAGACCAGCCCAGGAAACTTGGTGAGACCTTGTCTCTACAATAAAAATTAGCCGGGTGTGGTAGTGCATGCCTGTAGTTCCGGCTACTTGGAAGGCTGAAGCAGAAGGATCACCGGAGCCCAGCAGGTTGACACTGAGGTGGCCATGAGCATGCCACTGCACTCCAGTCTGGGTCAAGGAGTGAGACTCCAACTCAAAAAAAAAAAAATTATGATTGTATTTCGTCAATCCTATAACACATTTTTTCACAACTGAACATTTCTGAAATCAAGATGTACATTTCTAAAAATTTATTTATTTATTTAGAGTCAGGGTCTCACTCTTGTCCAAGCTGGAGTGAAATTGCACAATCATGGTTCTCCACGGCTTCCAACTTCATGTTCAAGCAATCCTCCTGCGTCAGCTTCCTGAGTAGCTGGGGCTACATGCTCACGCTACCATGCCTGGCTTATATTTTTTTATAAAGACGAGGTCTCGCTGTGCTGCCTAGGCTGCTCTTGATCTCCTGGACTCAAGCAATCCTCCCACTTCTGTGGAATGACAGGTATAAGCCACCATGCCTGGCCTCAGGATGGACCTGAAAATCACTGGCAACTTACAATTATAATTGGCAGGGGGTTTCCTTATATAGTAGCACATAAAATAATGCTACATCTCACAAACGATGGCATGTTTGATTCGTGGAATACAAGAATTGTATTCCAAATCTCATGTTTTAAAAAAAATTGCCAACTTTTTTTTAACCAGGAAGTTTACACTAAAACTTGGCTTCCATGAGAAATTGGAAGACCTGGAAGACTGGATGGGCATTCTTCCAGCAGCTTTCCATGGCCAGTGGGTGGAGGCTGCCACTTTAGATGGGGTAGAACCTTCCAGCCTGCTCCAGTCCCCACCTGGCCCACTCCAGACCAGGTGGAGTCTCTGAGCAGGAACCACCTTGCTCGCAGGGCAACTTCTCCCCCATCCCTCGTCACTCGATCATGGGTATGTGATCACCAATTTTCCTTCTGTGCAGAGTCCCCTGGAGAGATGGTGCCATCTGGGGAGCCAGGTGAGTGTCCAGTTAGGGGAGGGGATCATCGGTGCTGGTGTTGAGCCAGATCTGAGCATCGCCTGTCCCCCAAGAGAGCTAGCTCCTGTTAGGGTGCCTGGCTGTGAGAGACAGGAACCCTACCTAGGTCCATGTGGAGCCCAGAGGCTCTGGTCTGAGCTTGGCAGGCAGGGCCTAGAGTTAGAAAGGGGTCCAGCAAGAGGTGAGGGGATTACAAGCAACCATCCATAGATAGAAAGATCCCTCGGGGGCTGGAGAAATCCACTGAGGCATTATTTAGGTCACCTATAGCCTCCCTGAGGATGGAGGTGCTTCTTAAAGACCCCAAGCTGGCTGGGGCACTGACATTGCGTTTCTCATTTTTTCCAGGACTCCGAAGAAGAGGCTCTGACCCAGCAAGTGGTAAATACACAAGATCTAACAGGGGAGCAGGAGGTGGCTTGGATTCTAGGGGGTGGGACAGGACCCCAGACAGCCTGAGAGGGTGGGCTTTCACCAGCCAGAGTGTCAGTATAACTCAGGAAAGTTCAAGGAAATGTACTCCAGCACAAGGAAAATGGAATGGAAGGCAGGCTCAGGCCTATGGAGGGAAGAGGACATCAGCTGGGGTCCCAAGGACAGCACCCCCATCTTCATGGTTTTGCCTGACTAGCCCTGCTGTGCCCTTGGGCCCAGAAGAGACACCCAGGAGGCAGGGAAGAGAAAACCCCACCTGCAGTCCTGCATCCAAGTTAAACAGTCATCTTTCTCTTGTTACTAAGGAGATGTGGAGGCCTCTCAGTTAAGAAGACTGAATATAAAGAAAGATGGTAAGGAAAGTAGTGTTCCAGTGCTGTCTGCCTGTCTGGTCCAGATTTCAATGGGTAAAATGCAGCCGGTGGCCTAGAACATAGTAATCACAGCCTGCCCTGTTGTGCACCCTACAGCTTGCAAAATCCTCAGCTCAGAATCACACTGAAAAGGTGGGACAATGGTTGTCATTTTGCAGATATGGAAACTAAGGCCCATGGTTGGAGAGTGGCCTTATAGCTAGTGAGCAGTACAGCCTGGGCTTGGACCCTGGTCCTCTGCTTTTTCTGCTATACATGAAGTCATTAGGATGATAAATGCCTTCGGGCCTTGTGGCCAGAATGGGGATCTGGAGGTGCGCAGGGCAGAGAGAGCCGAGAGGTTAGAAGGGGCCAGACTTTAGGGAAGGAGTGGTGAGAGGCAGAGGGCTCTCCTCTGCTCCAGGCCTGGCATCCGTGGGGGGTTCTGGGAGGAAGGTGAGGGTGGGAGGGAAGACCATGGTCTTTTCTAGTTGTTCTAGAAACATCCTGAGTTGTTACAAAAGCTCTGCCTTCAGAAGAGGCCTGGGGCTGAGCTTCTTGCCCTCCATCCAGGTGGCTGACACAGGGTAGTGTTTCATCACCCCAGACTATGATTCAAGACTTGCTGGACTCAAACTGAGATTCCCAAAGTGAGGCCATGTCCAAGCTGCTTCAGGACATGACATCACACTTGAAAGCAGGACAGTGATTTCCCTGTCCACTGTCCTTCTCAGAGCACAATCTTGGGGTGGAGCACCCCCATGCCTTTCCTGAAGCCTGGTCCTTGGTCATTGCCCCAGACAGACACAGAGTACAGGCCTCGCCCTGGGCCAGAGCCCCCAACAGGAATCAGGGCAATGGAGCGAGGGCCTGTCTTTTAAAAAAAAAAAGAGAAAGAAAAGCAAATGGTAATTCTGCATTCTGCCCTTACAGATGAGTTTTTCCATTTCGTTCTCCTGTGCTTTGCTATCGGGGCCTTGCTGGTGTGTTATCACTATTATGCAGGTGAGGGGGTGGGTCCTGGGGAATGGGGAGGAGTGTCTCAGGGAGCAGGTAGGGGCATCCAGACCTGCAGGCTGACCACTCTCTCCCTTCCAGACTGGTTCATGTCCCTTGGGGTCGGCCTGCTCACCTTCGCCTCCCTGGAGACTGTTGGCATCTATTTTGGGTTGGGTAAGCCCCTCCCAACACACACACACACACACACAGCCCTGCTGTCCCAGATGCCATCAAGATTTAAATAAACATTCTCTTCCCTGTACCAAAAAGAGCCAGTTGAATATTCCTTTAGGTTTCTTTTTTGTTTTGTTTTGTTTTTTGTTTTGAGTCGGAGTCTCACTCTGTCACCCAGACTGGAGTGCAGTGACCGCTCCCGGCCACCGCAGCCTCGA